GCCTCACATAGCCTTGATTGACAACCCTTAAATAGCCACAATTTTCTTGAATATGGCAAAGCATGTCATGCCATGTTACGCCAAGCCTCACATAGCCTCACATAGCCTCACTTGCCTTGAATATCGCAAGGCATCATATAGCCTAGCTTGACAAGCCTCAAATAGCCTCTCTTGCTTTGAATATAGTAAAGTGTGCCATGCCTTGGCATGGCAAGTCTCAGATAGCCTCGCTGACAAGCCTCAAAAAGCATCGCTTGCCTTGCATATAGCAAAGCAGGCCTTGCCATAGCACGCCAAGCCTCATACAGCCTCACTTGACAAGCCTTAAATAACCTCACTTGCCTTGAATATGGCAAAGCTTGCAATGCCATGGCACGCCAAGTCTCACAAAGCCTCACTCAACAAGCCTTAAATAGCCTCACTTGCCTTGAAAATGGTAAAGCTTGCCATGCCATGGCACCCCAAGCCTCACATAGCCTCACTCGACAAGCCTGAAATAGCTTCGCCACTTTAGAAGTCAACACGATGATGTTTGGACAAGAATAGTTCATATATGAACTACTTATTAGTTCTAACCATAAGGTTGGTAATGTACCCACACTTCAATAATAATGGGGCGAAAGCTCAAGCCAAGGAACCAAGGTCTCATCAGGAGTCCAAAACATACTAAGAGGCTTAATCACATGATTAAGGAATCATGAGTAAGGATAAAGTCATAAATCTCAAGTTGCTTCTACGGATAATGTTGTTGGCGGCGCAAATCTCACGGCCTAGAGCTCTAGGCCGAGGGGATATGCGTTAACACGTGGCTTCCTTCTTTTGGATGCGGTGCGGTTGTACGCGGGCGTGCCAGCACGGTCTACCGTGCGTCGAGATGGTGTTTGTGCCTAATAAATCATAGCCATGAGCTGGCCGAAGGAGCCCCCTTTCTCGGCCCTGGCACTTGCTTGTAAAACTGAAACGCAGCGTTTCAACAAGGCACTTTGCCTTCCTGAAGACAAAAGAAAAATGCTAAGGCATGATCATCTCGGCCTCGAGTGTAGGCCGAGGCCGAGGCCAAGCAAAATTGCGGCCAGAAATATTAAAGTCAGATCATCACGTGATAGCAGGGACCCATGCTTCATTTAATGAAGTAGCACCTGTTTAATGCAGCAAACCCACTGGCCACAAATAAGCATTTAAAGCATAAGGGAAGGTGGGAAGTGACTGAAGTCAGGTTGTGGCGACAGAAGACAGAGTGATTAGACGTAGACATTCTCACAAGAATTCTTGCAGCTTGAGAGATTAGGTCACCAGCTATCAGAGCAATAAATGCGTCTCCACGGCCAGCTGCACAAAAACCACGATTAGGGCGGCGGCCGAGATTCACCAGGATTTATGGGGTCACACCACCATGCTTCACGATCCCAAATGTCGATTGGACACCCACTTGCGCTAATCAGACTCCACTATGCGTAAATTCAGCCTCGATTACTCATCCAGGAACTCTTCTTATAAATACAAGGCTCGAGCTACATTCAACGGGTTCAAACACCAAACCAAAGCATCCCACGGAACAACTTATTTTTTCCTGTAATGCACTTTCAATACCTTTACTTGCTTTCCTAGGAGTAGTGTTAGACTGTAAGGAAAATTCATTCATCAATATATCATACGACCCTTGATTTTCAAGGCACCGGAGCACCATCCTTGTTGTTCGTTCACTCACCCCATATATCATACGACCGTCGCTCCCTGAGTGACGCGCCGGAGCATCGCCCAAAACCCACCACCAACACCACTCAACGGCCTTGTAGTTCAGGCCGTGAACCTAACAGCCGAGACCAGTTCCTCTCTTGGCTACAATCGTTTGATTAGGAAGAC